TTACACGTATATAAGGAAATAATTAATTTAAAACAAATGCATTAATATGATTTTTCTCTTATGCAATTTTCCTTTTAATTGAATAGAAATATTTTCTATATTAAAGAGAATGAAGGCTCAAGATGAAAGTAAATTAAATATTATTATGATACAATTATTATACAATTATACAATTATTAATTCAATTCTCAAAAAAATAACTATAATTTGTTATATAAAAATTATATAACATTAAAATCACCCAGAGAACATTTTAACATCTATGAAATATCTTAAAGATGTTCTAAAAATTTTAAGATATTTTTAAGATAATCGTCTGTTAGTCATCTTAGGACTATCTTAAAATCGAAAAATTCTAATAATTAATAAAATACATAAAAATACATAAAATTTAATAAAAGATATCAAATAATTATAAGATATAATATGGTGTTTTCGTTGATGTGAAAGTATTTATTATGTATTTTACAATAATAAAATGTTTTCTTGAGTGTAATAATTTTTTCATTAAATATTTTAACGTACCTGACATAATCACCTGACATAAAATTAAGTAATTATTATCACAAAGTATATTTATTCCGGTTTTTCAGGAAATGCAACTTTTGTCTTATTACATAATTCTGCTTCTGCTTTATTAGCTCTATTAGATCGAAGCACTGCACCTGGACTAGGATATGGCCTCATTTGATAAAGCGGTCCCGAAGCAGTTGTATCGGCACCAGTTTTAGCCTCGTTATGTTTAGCCAATCCATCTGACCATTTTCCCCTATAATATGATTATATGTAAATAAAAATTATAAAAGGTACCTATATGTCTATTTTAACCTTCCCATGGCAAATACTGAGTCTGTTCAGATCAATTTCAGAGCTCGCGCAGTTGCTTAAGTTTTTACAATTGATTAAATTTTTGATTAACCAATTCAAAAAGTCATATGAGTTGTAAAGATATATTATTGTATTTATATATAATGTTAATTATAAGTTATTGATTTTGCCAATTCAAAAATTCAATCAATATTTTGAAACATGAAGAAACAAAATTCAGTTAAGCTGAAATAAATCCCGAATCCATTCCGGCCGCTATCCAAGAATTAACATGCAAATTTGTATAAATATAAATGTACCTGGGTATATCACTATATGATGCTGGATCCATGGGATCCAATGTACGATCTTTTTTATCTTTACTGTCAGTTCTATCAGATCTATGAGTTCTTTTGTTATCGGGTCCTTTATATCTTGTACGATTTTCAACTTTCCTATCCTTTTTGACAGATTCACTTTCTTCTACCTAAACAATTGTTATATTAATTATAAATCTCAAGTTAACATAAATTTATATTATACAAAAAATATAACATTACTAACTTCCATTTGCTCTTGATCACTGGTACTATCATCACTTGACATGTTATCATCTTGATCCCCTGCCTTCAAATGTAATTCTTCACGTAATTGGGATGCAGGTTGCGATATTTGACACTTAGGATGACCAGGAGGTAACCAGGATACTAAATCAGATGACCAATCCCAATAATAATGTTGTCCTCTAAAAAAATAATAAATATTTTTTCTATATTCTATATATTTCAAACATTAACCATTTAAATATTATGGATATTTATAGAAATATGGTTGAAGTCAGAATCACGTTCTCTTCATGTTAAAATATGACCAAACCAAACGTGGTACAATAGTTTTTCTTATTTTATAAAAGAGTCAAGCAGTGCAATTTTAGTTTTTATTTTTATATAATTTTTTATTCTTTTTTATAAATTACAACAACTTACAAAAAAGTTTCAATTTAATAATTTTTCTTTGTGAATTATAATATTAATAATACATTGCCATAGAATTTAACTATCAACCAACCTCATTGAATCATGACAAAAGAAACAATGCGATCACACTGCATAGTTAAATATCTTAATCTTTTTCAAAAATAACTAGAGATTATTGCTAATTTTTATTTGTAAAATCCTAATTATAAGCTATCAATACTTACGATCCAGGATCGTAAACAGCCTTCCAAGTTTCTGGCAATGGATACTTTTGAATTAGTCTCATTTGTTGTTGCAAATATTTGTCTGAAGGTTGTACATGTCCTATTCCCCATAATTCTTTACATTTTTTTGTACATTCGTGATAAATATTATATTTATTAGGACATCCACTATAACCCTAAAAATGTTTTCAATAATTTACAGTTTAAATTGTTGCTATACTGTTTAATAACATTTATATTAACTTTATTTATATTAACTTAATCATATTTACCATAAACTTCTGAGATATGTCAATCTGGTTAATCTCCTCTTTTGTATTGTCATAATCTTCAGCTATTACTTCTTCATGTATTTTCTTCTTGATTTCTTTCTTTCCAGATTCTGCAAAATCAATAACAACATTATATATAAATGCATTATATATAAATGCAATAATATCTTTACAATTCATATGACTTTTTTTATTAACTAAAAGTAAAATGATTTAATATAAAAATTTATAATAATTATAACTGTATACATTATTTTAAAAAAAATAAATATACCATGCTTCTCAGAGCCAGTAATTAATCCCCTTTTTGCAAGACGGGCAGCCAATGCTGCCGGCAAAGGCATTTCTAATTTTTTTCGATTTAAACTATCAGAAAATTATTTATGAAGTATGTATATAGTGTAGAGATACTTTTTCTTAAATATAATTTAGATTTTTTTTTATATCCCACTTTACGTAAAAAGTATCGCGTCGTTTATAAACTGCTGAAATATAAACCGTTTATAAACCGTGAATATAATCGATATTGAAAAAGAAAACTGGCTAAGTATGAAAGCCAAAGATGAATGCCAAACGATTGGAAAGCCTCTAACAAAAAGAATGTGAACTAAATTTTTGATTGGTACTAATATTCATTTATCTGGCATAATATCTGGCAATACTGGGGATGAAGTCCCATTAATCTCGGTCTACAATAGGTGATTTAAGCCTGAAGCCATAAGAAATTGACCAATTATAGTTGATTATTCTCCTATTCTTCGACTATGATTCGTCCATTTCTTATGGCTCAAGGCTTAAATCACTTATTGTAGACTGGAACTTAGCACGGATCGGAATGACCATAGACCTTATAGATATGGACTGGCGAGAGCACCTCAGATGCGCACATTTTCAACCGGACCACTCACATCAGCCGATGTCTATGAATTTTCTAGTGAACCACCTATCAAAAATTTTTTTACTTAATCGATCAATTAGCAATGTGTCCGATTGAATCTCGGACACTTGGACTGGCAACTGCTATAGGGTGCTTTCCATTTAGTGACACAAATCGACACAAGTATCATTTCGTCCTTGTTAATCATTGAAAGCCAAGAAAGATAGAACAATACTTGTGTCACTAAATGGAAAGCAGCCAAGTTTCTACATAAAAAACAGAAGATGTGCTCATCAGGTAGATCCAATTTGGATCCGGTCTGCGTAGATATGGCGTTGGAACAAGTTGCCTTATATTGAAAAATAATAGTAAAATAAACAAATCTGTGACTACGTGACATGTGATTTGATAATAGAAAATTTAATAATTATTAATAATAAAAGTCACAATAGTAGTTCTCTTAATTAAATAAATTTATTAATTGTCCTCTCCTTATTTATACTACATTTTGAATATCGCGAGAAAAATGCCAATCGCTGATTGACTGATATATTAATATGGCCGGCTACTTGTTCCATCGTCCTCATTGGTCCATCCTTACTTTCATGCGCAAGAGCACACCTCGTTTCTTTACACCATGTTAGATAGTTTCTAAATCCGACCAAAAATATTACGTTATCCATTCCACGTCTATCTAACGAAATCTACAGATTTCGTGACGGTAAAGCGTTCTCCAGTGTCGACGCCCAGTTTTTGCGTGTGAGTGTTTAATTTAAATCTTGTACATACCTTCGACACGCGTTGTACTTGTCGTTTAACATACGGGTATCTTGAAGAATTCAACTCCATGTATATCACATAATATTCGCGGTTACATATTTTTACCGTGCGAAGAAACGTATTTTGACATAATGATCAAAATGGCGACTCCAAAAACAATAATTCTCTAGTGTGCTAATGTGCCACCTCACGTGGAGCTTTCCGGTTACTCCTCGCGTCTGTCGCGGTATAGATTTAACATCAGCCGAACTTAGAACGTTGAAATTATTACGCTAATCCGCAATTTGTTTACAGTCGGATATGCGAGTGAATTCTCGAATTAGTGAGACAACCAATTTGCCACACGTCGATTCTTTGTCAATTACAATCAGTGCAACTGCAACTTGCGCCAGTTATTCTCATACATAAAAAGAGGTTTGCACGCAATTATGGTCTGTCACTGCCGGTCATTGCACTTTGCTTCACCATACATACATATTAAGTTTATTCCGTCCAAATTTGTTTGATTTTACTGGCATTGATAATCCTCTTTATTACCAGAGAATGTAATCGCACAATTTGAAAAAAGTGACTTCTTGCTTTATTTTTTTTTTTCAAACAATAATATGTTAATTATCAGCTATTAAGTTGCATTTACATTCCATTTGCTATATTTACATTTATCTAAGTAGATATCAAGAGCAGTATTTATGAAGAATTTATGTCACATATCAGAACGTTGGCAAGAGAGAAATACTTTATGGATTGCTCTATTTTTTCTAATGGCAAATTTGACCATTCATACTATTCTGGATTAGTATTTTAAACACTCATACATGAAATTATTCATTGTGTTTAGCAAACACAATGGTTGCACAGCAATTAAGGAATTCATCAGTGCAATTGATCTAAATGCAAGGATCTAACAGTAAAGACCAATAATCACTAATCATTCATTAACTGCTTATTTTGTTAAACATAGCCATTGAAATATAAAAACATACATAAAAACATTTCAAAATGATTATAATAACTGACAATGAATTTTTTATTAACTATGCATCTATTAAATATACATTTATAAATAATTTTGTCATCAAAGAAATTATATACTACATTTAGATATTTTATATGTAGCAATCTTTAGTATGCATTAATCTAGTATAGTGTATTTAACCGAATTTACTATAAATATCTATATAAAAACTCATCACAATTTTCTCAATTTAAAAATTATTTAATTTTTAAATTTGCATTGATTCTTAGGCTGGTGGCAGAAAAATAGAAATAACAAAACTTAAGCAGTAAAGAAGTCGACTGATATATAGTTCAGAGTTTTAAAACAATAATCTTAAATTTTTAATAATGTTCAATTTGATTGACTTGATTTATTGTTAAAGTGATTTGTACTATTTATGATTAGAGGTTTACTCATATGAGATTTAATGAATAATATGAATGTACATCATCAGAATTATTATTTATTATTGATTATTTATATATACTCCATCAGCAGAGTAATTTTTTTACAAAAGGACTTAAATCATGAATTGTGCACAGTTGAACATATTTTGCTATTTATATTTTTCTATGTGCTATTTTATGGAAAAAATCTAAAATAATAATCCAAATCTATGCACATACTGCATCTCCAAATCTAATACTAGAATTAAATAGTACATACAGTACATATATTTTGCATAAATTAATTTGATATACATTATATTTATGTCTTATGTCTTATGTTTAAATTATTTTGTATCTGAATAATAACTATATTTGTAGTAACTCAAGATTATAAATTATTACGTTTTTGCAGTTGTTTTAAAAAATGGTCACCAAATCAAAAGTTTTTGTCATTCATTAAAAAATATGTTAATTATTACCAATATTAACAATAATTTCTTTTACAAAAATGTTAAAAATTATGTTATTTGATTTATACATAACTTCTTTATAATTCAATCTTATTTATTTGATATTCTAAATAATATAAATAAGAAATATGTCCTTTTTCAATTTTAAATAGTAACTTTCTGTTACTATTATATAGTCAAAATATTTTTGACATCAACAAAATATTTGATATAACATCACAATTATGTGTGAGCATAAATTGTCGAACGAATTATTTCTATGATTTCATAAATTATGTGATCTAGTTTATGTTTAATATGTATATACATATATATATATATATATATAATAAATTAATTAATATTTAATTATTATATATTAATATATTTAATATATATATATATACACATAACTATTTATTATATTAGTTGTTAGTTAATAATAATTTATAATAATAATTTAATATAAAGGATACAAAATCTATAAATTGTATACTTTTGGTGAAAAAAGGAAAAATGTAATCAAGAAATTTATTTTCATTATGAAATTAATTATATCTTTATTGTCTTTAATTAAGAATTGTTGTTATAAATGATTAAATAATCATCACTAATTACATTCTCCAGAAAAATAAAATATAATTTCCTATTTTTATTTTTTACAGAGAACGTTTGGCTGAGCTCAAAATGCAGACAATAAAATGTGTAGTAGTTGGAGATGGAGCAGTTGGTAAAACTTGTTTATTAATCTCTTATACTACAAATAAATTTCCATCAGAATATGTTCCGACAGTATTTGACAATTATGCAGTCACCGTCATGATTGGCGGTGAACCATATACATTAGGATTATTTGATACTGCTGGTAAATATTATCATTAGTATATACATGTATACAATCGTAATACAATAATATTAAATTGTTTTATGTAATACAATATATAGGATGTTATAATTCGCAAGTTATCTCTTGTCAGCAAATAGAACAGATTAAACTAAATTAAGTGGAAAAATCTTTTATCATTTTGCAATTTTCAAAATATTAATGAAAATTAATAAAAATTTTAATAAGTATGCATTGCAAAAGTAAGCACATAACGAAAAGAGACAACTCAAGTGTTACATACTATCATGGTTACTGCTGCTTATCACAACTTATAGAATGTACTTCCAGAGAAAGAACATCTTGCTCTTAGAACGAACATCTTGCTCCTAGCAACTATAAATGCATTTAATGTTGGGCTATCTTATCATATGGATATATGCTCATTTGTGGATTTAATTTTTTTTTTTTAATTATTTTCTTATTGATTATTGAGCAAATTACAAAATAATAAAAATTTTTTTTATTCAACTCATTCTACCTGTCTACAAAAAATGATCTATGGATCATGAAACACTATATATTTAATGTATAATAATATATTTTTTATAAGATAAATATTGGCAGTTGTTTACTCAAATTTTTGGATATTTTTAGGTCAAGAAGACTATGATCGTTTGCGTCCATTAAGTTATCCACAAACTGATGTATTTCTTGTATGCTTCTCAGTTGTATCACCATCGTCGTTTGAAAATGTTAAAGAAAAGGTATGATCAAATTAATCAAGTTATATCAAGTGTTCTATCTTTAATATTTTAATATATTAACAGTGGGTACCAGAAATAACACACCACTGTCAGAAGACGCCATTTTTATTGGTTGGAACGCAAATCGATTTACGAGATGATGCAGCCACAATTGAAAAACTAGCAAAGAATAAGCAAAAAGCTATTTCTAGTGAACAAGGGGAAAAGCTTGCTAAGGAATTAAAAGCTGTAAAATATGTTGAATGTAGCGCTCTTACACAGGTATAATAGTAATTTATTTATTTTTAATTTAATACTGAACAACGAAACTTTCTGTCATATAAGTTTTAAAAATTATATTGTACAATGACATCTATGTTCATATGGGGATTAATTCTTAATTACCTAATTTTTTGCTATAAAAATATGTTTATTGCTATTTCAGAAAGGGCTTAAAAATGTCTTTGATGAAGCAATATTAGCAGCTTTAGAGCCTCCAGAACCTGTTAGAAGAAGAAGGTGTACTATTTTGTAGAAGGTATATGACTTTTTTTATAAAACTGTTAGTTCTATACCATAACAAAGACTGTAAGTTTTCTTATATACACTGCATGCAAAAAGTTTTACAGTAACGATTGTTAAATTCTAAGGTATATAATAAGTATTTTATAACATTGGTGGCATATACGTGAATACAAAACACTCTTGATCTACATTGGCATTATGTAAATTTTGTAATTATATAAAATTGTAATTATATTAAATTATATCTTTGCCTTATATAATGAATGTTACATCAACATATCTTATGTTATTCTGTGCATTTCTGTGTTTACATTATAGCAAATGTATCGATTGTCTTACACAGAATGTTAACAAGAGATTCCAGAGAATTTAAGAATATATTATAATGTCCATATAAAACTTGTCTTTAAAGAAATAAAATAATTTGTTCCATAGAAATTGTTTCATAAACAAAAAAAATTTTATGTTTTATATGATTTCATGTCGATTATGATATAACATCCATGTATATGCAAAAATGCAATATTAATTATTTCTGTATTTTCTGACATATATTGCATAGAACTAAAGCTTTTTTGCAATACTACTCAATTTTTTATATCTTTTTAGATACATTCTATTCTATATATTTAATTTGTGTTTTGTATGTGT